AATAATAGAATAAGTTTAGATCAAACATTGAACAATTCTATATGTTGATTAGCAACATTCTACGCTCGGATGAGTTTAATGTACATGGATCCGAAATGCCATGGACTCTCTTTTTTTTTTTCTCTGTTAGTTACCTAGTTTGCTAATGATATATCTATCGCTCAGGCATCAATTATGATACTATGTACATCGCTTTCTAAAAGTAAGATTTGGAAAATCTAAATATTTCATTCATAACACGTTGAGCAATATAAATAGCTTTGGAGGTATTATTCTTACTTTTGTGCATTGTAAATGTTTCAAAACTACCAGTTAGGCTTGCTACGGCACAATAAGGTGAAACTTCGTTCACCAAAAAAACATATACATCTCAACTAAACGCCAAGCAATATTATGCAACGGACATGACATGTCAATCACGCTTCTAAATCGCTCGAGCATATTTCCGTCATGACGCTCGCTAGAGGCGTTTCTCTTATTTGACAAGCTACAGATACTGGCCGCCTTGCCGGTTCGCCTACCAGTATCTGATACAAACCCCTCAATCTGCACCACAGCGACGCTAGTATAGCGGGGAGTTGCACTAATCAGTAGGCCGGATGCAAATTTCACCGGTGATTGCCCCCTATCCTTTTCTCTTCCCTAAAATTGACATTTAATTTTTTCTCGCGCGCTCTATTAACAGGGCCATTTTTTACGTCCATCTACTTTACACTAAATATACCGGCCTTGGATTTTGCAGTGGTGGTGATCGCTGAACTACTGCAGGGTTGTCGATCCTGTAGAGCGAGAAAAGGTGCATCTGCACACATGTTGTTAAACGATAGCTGGATAGTCCGCCTCGACATTTAATTGTACGGACGAAAGGGAATATCGCCCTCATTATCATAACTGTTAGTACAAATGTGTCGCGAATAGAATATCACAGCTGGGTAGAAGGTTTTTTGGCTCGGGAATTGTTTCAATAATGGTCCCGACAACTGATTTTTATATAAATGCCGGTTCGTATATTTTTATATAAATGCTACTCAACGTTATTATCTCAGCAACTTACCTGACCTCATATAAACAACACCATATGCTTCAAATCATGCGTTTACGTGAAGCAGATTCCATCCGGACAAAAAAAAACCTTAGAACGGAGTGAGGTGCTTTAGAAACGTGGGCGTAACAGGCCTATACGAGAGGGGCCTATTTCGTTTGCAGTAGGAACTGTTTCGAAGCCGACGGATGTCAAGCCATAGCGGTTTCCGGCGGAGAGTGAAAAGCCACCGAGTGAGCGCAAAATGCAGTAATGTGTGCCGGCCAGCTTGCTAGAAGGTCCTTTCTCAAAATCAGCAGCCATAGTGTCGAACTAAATAAAACTAATGAACAGATATAATGTATAGGCCCCAACACAACATGTATATATATATATATACTTCTTTAGTCTATCGTGCAGTTAGCCAGAAGGTCCAACCGTAAAAATGACAGTCTCATAATAGGAAACACATAGCAGAATCGAGATAGAGAAGTAGGATAGACTAAAGGTAGGACACCGCCATGGGGAACCGCCACTGATACACTAGCACCGTGTGCAGTAGGACATAGGTCTGACAGAAGAACTGATCAAAGACTCATGGACAAACAATCTAGATGATCAAGCTCATGGAAACCTGTATTCTGGTACTAGACGGTATCAATAGCAACAACTGAGCCTAGATTTCGTTCACGGACTGTTAATTACTATAATATTACTGCGACTAAGCACGCATCGACCATACTTGCTAGTTATTGGCATTGGTCTTCGAAAGTTGTTATAGCGTTCACTATATCATCGCCGAAGCAGCCTACATGAAGCCCATACGTGTCATAGCCAAATTTGGTGTCCATGTATATATAGAAACGTACGCAGACAACGGCGCCTTTGGGGAATTTGCTAGGCCGAATCGGTTTGTTGTTTAGCTATTTTTGTGTTTTGGTGGCGAGTGCTGCTGCCGCTTATATTATTGTTAGGACTGATGTTGTTTTCGATTCTGCACATGCACCGGATCAGTTGAGGAAGCAAACACTGTTAAGCCGACCCAACGATCGGGAATGAAAAACTGACTGATGAACGGACCAAGCGACAAGTCGCCATCAACGACAATCAGCCTGAGCAGAATCGGTGTGACTGAGCATGAGCATCAGGCATCAATTCGTCACGGAGCCGTCACGAAAAGCGTCGCGACGTAAATCCCTCTATCGGACTCAATCGACAGAGGTTCCATACTAGCCAAAAGGCGGAGGCAACCTCCGCGTTTCGTCTGACCGTGATGTGATCGTGGGGCTAGCGTCGGTTCGTCCCATCTGCAGACGGTTCAAAATCTCTATCTACATAGAATGTACACGACAAAGACGACAATGTGCATGTCTGCGTGCGTTTGTAGCAAAGGGCAAGTGACGCTAAAATCACGGCTGACGCTAGCTTTAACGAAAAGGCGTTTGGAGAAGGCGAGGAGAGTTTGGTGTTAGGACGAGGCCGATGGCTCTTGGAGCACCAGGTTTGTGAACGCTAGGACTTGTGACGATCGTAAATCAATAAACATTAAAAAGGCTGTTGATTCACATTGATTCCGTACGAAGCTTCTTAATGGCCAGTTGGTTGTTGCAACTACCGTTTACCACGGTGAACAGCTACCAGCCGTACGATGGCCAGTGCATCTATCCGAAGCAGCCGGGACCTTATAACGGTGCTTGTATTTTATATACAAGGACAAGTATTGACTGTTTGATATAGCTGTGCCCGACAGGTTACCAGAATCGATTTTATCACCTGGCAAAAAATCTATAAGAGCAAGGCACTTTTAAATCATTATGAGACTACAGTGGCGTTGTTCATTTAAGAATATGTTTTAATTTCGCTCGATTTACTAATCGTATATGTTTCACATAGCGTACGTATGTCTTCTGAGTGCGTATTCTTGTGATATTTCAAACGGTAACGAAAAGCACTTTTGCGATTTGCCTCGTATGCCTGAAAACTGTGATGAAAAAAAAACAGTTATCTTGACGATACATTTTTACGCATGAAAGAATAGTGGGGCCCCTTACAGAGTTTTGCTTTCGAGTTCACCAATATGAGCCTGCCGCTGTCTCATTTAAACGTAAATAAAAAGAACCCACTTTCTACATAGACTAGTGGGGGGCCTAAAAACAAAGAGCTCGCACTATTTTGAACTTTCAAAGCCCTACAAAACTTTCTAATCCATTCAAATATGCCCACTTGCCTCTTTTAGCTGAGTGAACGACAACGCACTAGTGGGAGTTCCGTAAACTTCGAGTCTTCTCGAATGATGCTACCATTCGGAAATACCCCGCTGTGCCAACGCACATAAATTAATTAACAAGCTTGAGTTTACAGTTGACTCGACGAGAATGTAAGCCGAACTAAATCTTTCAACCTATCCATTGGTTTGTAAACCGAGATGACTTATATGACAACCGAACTATTAATCGAATAAGCGATCTATCTCGTATTGTGCATACTCATATACTATGGATATCGTGCTAGGACCTTAACTATTCTTTTCTTTCATAGATAATAATATGGCACTTAACTACAATGAAAGATTTATATTTATTCCCAAGCGCACTAAGCAAGAGACAAGTTACGGTCTTTATAACAGAAAAAGAATAGTAACTATTTCAACGCTATCCGGCGACCGATTTTTGGCCAAGTCCTTTCTTCTTCCGCTTCAAGAGGTCAAATCTAGTCGTCGTCGAATGCAGTGTCCATCGTTTGTGCTGCTAGACGCGCAAACAGGACAAAAGCAATATTACTTTTTAGGTTTAAGTTCGCTTCGGTAAAGCTGCGATAAGCTAACGGTCTTCGACACAGCTACATGATAAACGAATCGCTTTCATGAAACGTTTGTGGAGTTTGACGTGCGGAGTCTCGGGCACCGAGTTGTGCTTTAGAACGACACGGAGATGCAAGTTAGTATAGCTTTTCGGCGGGATATTCTAAGATAATACAAAATTCTTCAGAGAAAAAAATATGGGACGTATGAATTTTGTCGCAACCAACGATGTTTCGCTTAATTCGTATCTTCACAGGGAGCGCCGGACCTTTATTATACAATATGCGAAGTTCATACGATCATACCAGTATCGTTTGACGTAAATAAGACCATTGCAACGAACTGTCACCGAGTCCATGCTCTTCTAACCTTCGACAGAATCATTCGTGCGCACATTAGAATTTCAAAGGAACTTTCCCTTCTCCACAATTTTACCATTCTACAATAGCTACTTAGCAGCTTGATAACAGCTAATGATGGCTGAATAACAATCAGTTGAATTTCTGAATGATTGTTAAATCCAATACGCTGGAGTATGCCTCGCTCGAATCCATACGCTTTGACAGCACAACGAAACGACTATGTAACACCAGCTTTGTTTTTCAATTAGAATTCAACAAGCTCGATTTCGCCCTGCGTGCCACACCTTATCAGCACCATGCTAACCGGCCCGTTTCTAGCGAAAAGGAGTGCTGCCGCACTAACTTACATACTGACCGTCTCAAGCACAACGCACGACGATTGTCTGCCGCCAGCGTGTTTGCCATGAAGCCACATGGACGTGGTGATTGAGCGACATCGATGTACCTGTTTTACATCCCACACACACACGTTGATAGTGTTACACTGCGCGAGAGACGTCCTATAGCGTCCACTGAATTTTACTGTGCTCGCACCGGAAGCATTTGTTTATACCGCTTCAAATGTCGGTGATGTAAGCCCACAACCAACTGTGACGCGACGTCAAACCTCGTTGTGCGTCCTGGTACGTTAGCCTATCTGAACGATTAATTTGGTCAAGAACCGGCAAATAGACGGTGTCGCCCCCCAACGAGCTATAACAAATACTATATCGACACAAGCGACAAATGAGTAAGTGGCATAACAGACGCATGCAATGATGTTAACTGAGCAAACATTGTCGAACATTTACTTGCCGAACCGAAATCACTTTCTCACCGTACAGCATTCTACGATACCCCCGTGTCTCGTTAGTAGCTTTTCGACCGGCTATTATCTAACGAACGTTGTTTGCTCTTCTGTTTCTGTAACCATTCCGCTTTCTGGTGCTTGACTTCGTCACATAGTTCGTCCTTCTCCGTACCACCATCTACAATTCATATTATGTATATTAGTCAGTCGTCTTATAAATTGCTGCGGCTATCTTTCTGTTCTGCCGTGCCTTCGTTCTATGCGATTAACAATAACAAATCACACAGAAGTCTTTTCATCATTACAATTGTCATCCCTATTCTACGAAGCAGGGTTCTCGTCTAGCTGATTAGCATGGACTGATCGGCTAACGAAAGCCTGTCATGAACAACAGAGAATCGGAAATTGTCCACGTTAGTCTACTATGTTCAGAAGCTGATGTTCGTTTTGACCAACTAATGTAGTAATTTTTACTACTTCTGCTGCGGTTGTTCGTGCAATTGCTGAAACCACAGTTTGCTAGATCAATCGATACTTATCTGCATGAAAAATCGTTCTCCCCTGTATTTTCCATAGAGCAACTACTCGTGTCTCGTGGCGAGTTTTGGATCTGTTGGCCCACGGTTGGCTATGGCGTGTTATTCTCGACGTAAGTCCAACCTCTCTATGGTTGTCAATGGAGACGAAATGGCTATAAAAATATATAGGTTGCTTTGTGTACTACTGTAGTTGTAATTCATACAGACCAAAACAGACCTAGCAATTCAACTACCAGAATGAATGAACAGCGGGCAATTACAACAATAAACAACGATAAGCACAAATAAACTTTACAAATAAGTGGAAGCATATAGAACAAACATAGTACATAGAAGGACCCAATAGATAAAAAGGTAAATACTGAAAGCACGCTTGCCAGATAGAAACGATGGCGCTTTCCAGCAATTGGGTGATATGTCTGCTAGGTTAAGTAGTTGTAAGCTTCGAAGTTTGATTTCCTCGAAGCCAATTACGTTCAATTAGGTCCATTTGCGATGCACCATTTGAACACACGTAAAAGAAATACAAACAAAGAAACAAGGCAAGCTGACAGCAGCGGTAGCGGCTCAAATAATGGCCAATGTACTCATGGAAGAGGGTAGTTTATTGAAGTTTCTCGCCAACCTACGTGAAAAACATAGACATATATATGTATTATTTATATCCGTACGTATGAGGCATGGGTGAGTGATAATGATTTTGGACTTTTTTTTTTAATTTCTTGTTAGTTTGTCGATTTGACACGTTCGGAGCCGAGACAGCGACGACAGTTTTGTTGTGTTTGAATATCAACCCGGCGAGCACCATGAAACAAGTGCACGGAGCGCGTTTCAAGAGAGCTATGCAGCAGATATATTTGTCTAGAATATGTGATTTCTGTAGCATACCTTTCGTGTTAATAAATACGCTTTTTTATTTGAATAAATTCCAGTTTGTCACCAAAGGCTAGCCATTAAGTTTGTCATATTGTCGCATATGTCAAGCTTTACATAGAAAGAAATGAAAATACTTTGGTTATGGCAAATTTAGCTTTCGTAGTAGCCGCTACGGCCACCTTCACCTATGACAGTTTAACCCATTATTTCCTCCATGGCATGACAGCTGCGAACTTCACTTCGCTCAAGGTGACCCACTGGCTCACTGTCAGTGAACCCTATGACTGCAGCAGCAAATGAGCGCTACGGCGGACGGAGGATTTTTTAAAAACAGCATAAATTGACACAACAACAACAAGAGCGAACAGCAGAAGACGACGACGACGATGACAATGGCATCAACAACGATGCTTCGTCCTCTTCATCAGTAACAAGGACAACAAAAACACTGACAGCACTGTCAGTAAAGACCACATTAAGGCGACCGTAAAATGGGCGACACGCAAGGATAGCAAGCTTAACGCAAGGAGTAGCAGCAACGGCGAAGATGATCACCAGACTGGAAAGACAGAACGCTGTGCATTTAAATGGCTTATCATTCTTAGCATAGCGAACTATTGACAAGTGACTGCGAGCTTACTTACGTCAGAAGTTGCTATTCAGCTGACCTCTATTGCAATGTGGACCAACGGCGTTTCGTTCAGTGTCGACGCCGCTGGTCCTCATTTAACGTCGAAGCATTTTCACTCGTTACTGCTGCATAATAAATACGCTCTCTCAAGCATTTCTCAACGGCGGGCAGCTACAGCGGTATCAACTAATAATCGCAGCCGCCATAGACATGGAAAAGGAGATGGGTATTCATGGCGTAAAAACTTTATGGAGATGACTAGGAGAGACAAATGAAACGCGCAAAAAGCCTGATAGTGATGTGTATTTTCACCGCTTTTTTTTCAAGTTTCACCGCTCAAAGTAACGAAATTTTTGAAGTGCGTAGAAACGAAATTAGGGGCCTGCTTCAGAGTGAGAAGGTACATTACGTTAAGACAAACGGAGTCCAGAAGTTTCTCCATAGATCGATCTGTGGCATGAACGTGATGCAGGCTTAGGTTTGAATCGTGCATATGCTTTTTTTCATTCCTAGTTTTAATGAATCCATTAGAAGCAGGAGTCGTCTCCCACTAAGCATAATTCGCTGTAGGGAGTTTCACAGTCTCATTTTCACCGCCTTTGCGGAGGATAGGCTACATTGTAAAAAGAAAACTGAAAGACGTTTAAATTTAGTAGCAGTATATACCAAAGTGCTAATAAAATAATGGCAGTCGTTGTTTACGGCCTGCTTTTCTCTGTTGTCCCGTTTACTGATAATCAAATGTTCTATGTCATCTAAAATCTTGTTGGAAGGGCTTTGTAGCCATTTTGTCATAAGTTTAGGCCCCAAAAGGATTTTTCTCACTTGCTGCGCCGCGTTCTTCTTCAAGGTCAAAGAGTTCACAGACCAACCTGTAATAGAGGTGGTACGTGCGGTGAAATTCGACGAGAATCGCCTTAAACCAATTTTGAAACAAGATGAGCCCATGTTTCTTTTGATAGAGCAATCGCCGTAGAGGAAACAAATTTCCGGGACTGCTTCTCCAGCTTCTGAATATTGGCAAAAAGGCGCTGTCGGATATTTCCTCTTTGTGATCCAAGCTCAAAATAAAACTTTTGCTTCGTACGAAACGGTGCCAACACGAAAACGGCTTTTCCACGATGTCTATTAGCAAACGGAAGAGTGAAAAAGAAAACGCAGATAAATAAAAACACAGTCGTCAGCCTTTTCCCCAGTTTTATTATTTCTTCGGTGTAAGCTGTTTTTATTAAAGCACCACTGTACTATGAATACAGAGCTGACGATTTCATCATAAATAATAAAAGCACATGAGTAATTAAGTATTATATGCAGTTAACACCTTACTCACATACTGTACAATTGATCGACAGGCACAGCTTTTAGCCGAAGTTTCTTGGCCGTTAATCGCTTCGCATGCTTGAGAGTACCTCCCCTTTGATAAGTGAGCTGACGTCTATCGGCTAAAAGAGCGTGAGGATCATTGTTTTGAAAAAAGGTCAGCACACGAAATGGCTTGTCTCCGCTTTAACTCACGCTACGTCTCAACGCAGTCTCAACAATGGCGAGCTCTTGACTCACCATTGTTGAGACTGTCCTAAAGTTGAACGATCTTCAGCGCAGTCCAACTGTCATATGAAAGTATCGGGTATGTACCTCTATTTGTCTTTTTTGCGGTTTTTTTACTTCTTCTGTCTTCACCCCGCACACTGCCTGCAAATATGTGAGAATGCCAGCATCTCCCAAATTCCTCCAAATAATGTAATAGAATTACCTTGTAATTCCTCTTCCATTACTGTTTCCTACACAGATTATCGATAATATATGCTAATATGTGTACACTCTGTATGTGGCATTGTGTGTCTCCGCAAAACGTAACTTCGTTTGTCAACAACGGTCTACCGGTCGTTATCAGGTTTGTTTATCGTGGCGACCTCGTCGTTAGAAACGTTTCTACGATGGCGACTGGCGTAGTGTTAACTCATAACCTTTGTTACGTTACCCCGTTATGACGAATTCTCGACTACCTTATTGCAAAGGCATTGTTGGTGTGGCTGTTGCTGTTGTTACAGTTGTCGATAGCCCCGACCGAGGCTTTTCGTAGCAGTAGTGCCGGCACTCTTAACGGTACCCGTAATTCAGGCCCGCCTCATCCACAGCAATAATGCCGGATGAATGGTGACGAATACAAAGACAGCGAGCACCAATGCCCCTCAGCTATTGTTGTCATTACCACAGCGACATCGTCTAATACCGCTAAGGAAACGACCGACTGCGTCTGGCAAACTTCGCCGTTAGGGTCCTTGGCGCTGTCTTTTCGTTATTATAAATGCCAGCCGAATGCTAAACGGCGAGCCTCGGAGGGAACAGAAGCAAAGACAGTAGCGTGAGACATGGCCCAATCCATGAAATCAGTGTCCGCACCATGAACGATAAATGTGGCAGAAAACACGCGTTGACACCATTCTATAGAAGATAAAGGAAGGTGTTTTCGACTCAATGGTAAGACGATGTCAGAAACCTGTTGGTACAATCCGTGTTCTCGATGGGATCATAACTTGGGCAGCAACTAAGGTATCCTGGGTTAGGTCCCACTAAGTTCAACCGAGGCACATTTTTCGGACACTATGGGGAGATTTTGGTCCCTAGACAGACTAACAATTAAGGGATGGCCTGACAAGCCCATTTCTTCACGACGAGATGGTCGTTTAGATAACTTCGGCTACGCTAGCATTGTATTCAATTTGTCCCATTCCTTGATCTTGACTAGACTTATCTGTTCGGTTCAGCTTTGCTAAGTCATGAGTCAACCCGTTCGACGCTAAGACGACAACTACCCGACATAGATCGTCACATGCAGCCGGACAATTCTCAGTTGCCTTTACAAGACAGTCATTTAGGGCTCAGTCCTTAGCGCGTAGCTGACCAGTAAACATACGGTTATCAGCCCGTCAAACATATCGGGTGGCCAACCGTCAGTTCGGTGTCATCCACCTGACGGCAGCAACGAACCGCCGCATTATCAAGTGGGTTCCGCGTACTCCCCTACTCAACGCGACTTGGCGTTACATTGTGGGTAACAACAGCACTCGGTTATCTATCTGTATTTACAATTCCGCGCCGAGAGCACGACAGCGATCGTTATTTGCGGATCGCTGTTGGTAGCTTACTTCAACCAGCTGCTATAATAACCGCAGCGACAAGCACTGAACTGCTTCGCGTTGGATACAAAAAAAAGTATGACAGACAAACCACTAAGTTGACCAGGTGACTGATGAACAAATTCTTAGATGCTCAAACCATTTGTGCTGCGGTCGGTTACTGGTGAGTGATCACTGTTTGGCAATCAGAGCAGCAGTGATGAGCTAGATCGGCATAGCACTGTGCATGTGGGTTTCTTACACTGATTCCGTTGGTATGACCACAGCAATGACGACGCTGCATGGTGTCCAAGTGATGACGCAAGTTTTGCCCAAGCTGTTGCGTTTTCAAGTCGGTTCTACAGAGGCCAGTCATTTTAAACAGGCAGCAAAAGTATGTATGGAATGGGACAGAAAGATCAAACGCCGGACGATTACTCAACAGCAAACCATCCAGAAAGCGACGAAAAACAGAAACTTTGCGAGCAATGTAGACCGCGTCTGCTAATTCATCGGAGCGTTGGGAATAATAGAATCAGCAAATGCCGACGGCTCTGAGAACTGCGGATGTTGTTGCCGTGTCTTCCTCAATGTTTTGCAGCAAAATACATCAAAAATAGTGCACACGCGCTCCGCACGAATTAGCAAACTTTGTCTTAGTGGGTGCCTCAGCCCAAAGCAAAGAAACGGCCGCAGCCTTCTGCCCAAGCGGCTAATTAATAAAGAGGAGCACCCCGTTTGGACCGAAATTCGAAGTAGACGAAGTGGACTGATGCAAACGAAGATAACAGTCTGCACTATTGAAAATGACCGGCAGAAAGTGCAGCAACAGCAATAACGCTTACAAGAAGCCAAACAAGAGCTAACCGAGCTGAAAACTCCGTTCGTGTCGTCATCGTGGTCAGCGTTTCTTTTTTAGTCGTGCTGTCTCCCCTCCGTGTCTCTGTGGTAACCGGGCAGTCCTCTGCACCAGTACTTGGCTCTCAAACGATTACATTCGCTAATATACTCAAGGGATGTCCGGTTTGCCTTCAATTGTAGACGGTTATAGTCAGCTCCGAGCGATAACCGTATTTCGCTCTCTGGCTCATTGCTTGCGTTGCCTTCGGTTGTTACGCAAGGGAAACGAGTGAAAAAAAGATCAGCAAGCAAATGGTTACAACTGTTAGCCTTATAGTTATTATAGGCACCGTTGCTGACAGACTACGTCGGGACGTGTTACGCAATAAGCAACCGCCCAACGACCAACACATTTTGGTACAACGAAGGCAGTGGTGACACCCCAGTTTTCTATTACTGTCAACAGAAAAACACCAACCAAATTTGTCGGCACGTAATGCTAAGGCTTTGCTAACAAGGCGACAATAACATCAAATGTGTCGGAGGAAATAAGAGGGAAAATGGACAGGAAAATCAAACGGACTAAACAAAAGCTATCAGGCCTCGTAGAATGGAGATGGTAAACCAAACACGGAAATGCAAACGATTTCGGGTGCGGTGTTTACTTAAGGTATAAACGACGACTATATACTAAAAAACTGAAAAATGTTGACAAGGACATGGTGGACTGTACGTGATGAAACATGATAGTCGTCCTATGTAGTAATTTGGCGGCATTAGCGTAAGCAGCGGAATGGCAAAGTTATTTCAAATAAACTGAAAAACGAACGAAAACACACGGAAGTGAAGAATAAGGACAACGCACGAATTTAGTTCGAACTAGATTCGTATATCGTCGAAGTATTGGATTTTTTGCCTAAAATTAGTTCCTCATATCGCCTCCTCGAAAAGCTTATGAAAGCGCGTAGAGGGTTCACATTTTAGAGGGGAACTTGCCTATGGAACATGAACGCGGGTGAATAAGATAAGCTGTGCGATTTTTTTTTCCAGGAAACAACGGCACTTTTGCAATTTCCGAGATTGACGCTTCAGAGCCACTATTTAAGGGCAGCATTTTTGAGTGCAGATTTATGTCCACTTTCCCCCTACCTAAGCGCCGGTAACAAATTGTAAAAAATAAGCTATTTGATCTCGCCATGTAAATGTATTTCAATACTAAGCACAAAAGAAATCCATCAACAAATATTTTCTGCGATCTGCCGTTTACAGCGGTAGTGATAAAGAAAGGCTATACTACGTTTTATTTTTTATTGGAATCAATACCAATTTTAGAGCCGACTATTTTTAAATAACTAATTAACATGTTACATGGTGCTCTCCGTAGGGAACGATTTGGACTATAGTAACTCTTTTTTTTTTTTTTTTGAGAATCCGTTTCACTTTTGAGCGATCCATTGATTCTAATAAACTCCCAAACATCTTCTGAATCCCGAACGAAGTAGTAATCATTTTCAGGTCGACTTACGACTATTAAAAGTTGGGTCTCATCATGCTAATGTGTTGTCAGTGATCAACGTATACTGGTCAAGGCTGGCGTTTCCGTAAAAGCGCAAATATATTTTGACCACTCGGTAGGAAAAAACATATTGGCAATTGCTGTTGCCTCATCTAATTGGGACACTGAACCGGATGACATAGAAGAGTTTAAGTCTTGAAACAAATATTGGTCGAATCCCGCATGTATTTTAGGCCAAGTTGGATGCTTCTCAAATTGATTCCATCTATCACAAGCATCTAAGTCAATAAATACTATTTTTCTCTACATTTTTAACGGCGCATATATTCCCCATAAACGCAGTCAATATTAGCATGCGCTTTCATATGTATCATAAGCATCACACAATCTCTTTCTTCTAACAAAAGATCAAAACGAATTACTTCTTAAATGAAGTTTTGAGTGTTATCCTAGCTAAAATAATAGAGAGGTATTTTTTTTTGAGTAGTTTTTTTAGGTAGTAGATCCTTGAGGTTGTTATGCAACTTGCACACAAACGTGTGCACTACGCAGTCGACAACACTAGGCCACTGCTTTCCTTATTACTTTCACCGCGCGCACAGGCTATCATGTATTGCCTGTAACTTTAAGGCTCAAACCACCTGTTACCAACTAGCCCCATCCCAAATCTTTTAATGCGATCGTGTATATAGAGTGTATAGCTAACGACATTGTACCTCGTCGATTACGGAAGACTGCAATTCTGTGACAACATGAAATTAAATTTACAACTTCAAAAGTTTTTATTTTCGATAGGGTATTTAAGAAATAGTTTCAAAAAGCTTTTACGGCTGAAGACTACTTAGTCACACAGATGCTAGGTGGTTCCCATGATCGATGAAAAATGGCTAGAGCCGTACCTTATGAAATATATTCGTGTATCGTATGCGGGAGCCGTTACAAGCCCCAAAACAAATATCAACTTCGTTTTTTTTTCGTTCTGTCGTAATTTGTTATCCGTTAAGCGTACAGTGGACAGCAGATTGTAACATCAGAAACATAGTAATATAAATAGGAGACGATTTCTAACTAATAAAAGAGACTCAGACTTGAATTCGACCCTTCGGCTCATCTGTAGTTATTTTCCTTTCAACTCGCTGCTAACCGACTCTAGTCATTACCTCAATAGGTGTTAGTTTTGCTTTTACTCTCCGTCTAAAACAAATTTGCCTTGTTTTTTTTTAGTGAAGGGTTTATGCGATAGTTTGTAATAGTACCTTTAATAAATGCCGTATGCTTCGAGATATGGCCAAACACATTCTAGTTAAACGTCAGGACATAACACAATGTGTCTAACTCTTTTCTGTCACCATTTCGTTTGCAAATGAATTCCCGTGTACGCTGATTTCTATCTTACCATTACTTACATTTATATCAAATTTACTTTTTCTCAATAAAACTTTTATGTTCCGCTGTACATAACTTATTCGTTTTCCTTTATTACAATGTTCTAATTTTTATAAGAGCTTTGACAAACCATATGATGTATGTAGGTTATATTATACAAATTATAGCAGTCCCCTTAGTAAGCAAGTTTTGGCCTATTACCAATTTGGCATGACAGCTTTGCGACAATTAGACGTTTCGGAGAAGCGTCTATAAACTTGGCCCGATTCACAGACGTTACTTGGAACGCACCAATCTGCCTCAGCTCCTCACCCTTCAAACTGCTCAAGCTCAATCAACACGCACCTCAGCTACGCAGCAAGCATATGAGAAACGCATTGGAAAATAGCGCGACATGAACGTATGCAGACACGTACCATACGATGGCATGCAGGAATAAACCTTTTATGGAACAACAACGCATTTTCTTTTAGGTTCTCTGTCGCGTCACTCCGCCTATGTGAGGTCGCGTCAAGAGTTCTTTCTGTAGCGTCAAACAAACGGTAGCTACTGCTGCTATTCAATGTTTACCAGCTGCCCGATAAAAAATCCAGTGTAGTCCGTTGTAACTGCTGCAATTTCCAAAACAGTAGCCCTCCGTAACTCTCTGTTATATGGCGGCAGCAGGCGCGAGAACAACATCGGTAACAAAGCGAAAAGACGGCGCCGTAAAACGGAGTCATTGACTCCTCTCGACCGGTATAATTCACCAACGGATACTTTTCTTAGAGCAGCTCGCAGCAACAGCCAGATCTGACTTTAGCCGTTCTCGGCTCCTCCGGTGAAGACCAAGAGGACATAAGAGCTCAACTGTAGTAACTTGTAGCAATAATCACGCGAAATACTGTAACTCAACTCAATGCAAATATTATTAGAATATTCTGTCGAAGTAAACTTACCGTCACGCTTTAAACTCCAACCGTTGACTATATGCTTCGGATCTATCCACTCGGAAAATCGCACTGAATGCTCTTTATATCCTGTCAAGTTGCGCGCAACATTTTATCCAACGAATGGCTAATCCACGAAGGGAGCAGAGTACTCCCTTCTACTAACGAGCACTTCAGTAACCACACGTACATACAGACATACACCAATTATACTTGGTAACTACTAGGCACGAAACTCGTTTATACGAACGAAGCTATCTATATAGGCAAACACAAGGCAATACGACCACGAAAATCACTAATCAATGCTGCCATTGGCCCGGAGGAGGACTTGCTATACGGGGAGAAGTATACTTCGGCACCACGGATGCTGCCTGTCTCTGTGGACTGTATTGTGCTAGCCGCTCGGCTAAAACTTCACTTGTGACAGGCCAGACCCGTTGGCGGCTGCGGAAGGAACTTGCGGGATGAAATATTTACAAGATGGCGCCCCCAGCGGTTGTGCCACTGAGGGCTAAAGCAATGACGCCTTCAGAACGAAGACCCATTGAAGGGAGAGGGTAGTCGAAGTGATGCCGTATAGACAACAACTAAGACAGCTGGCGCTTCGAAACCGGGAGTTCACTTGGCGCCATTTGGTCGTCTGAAGCAGACGACAAGGACTCGGGCAGTGGCAGAAAATTTAAACGAGTGGAAGGAAGGAGGTGTTGCAGTATTGTTTAGCGTGCGAAGTCATTGAATTTTTGCAGCTGTTGAAACGCTTGTTGATGAGGATGACGGCTAATTGAACAATGCTACCAATCAGACGCCCGAATGATTATTAACACAATTTAGATTTTTTCAGTTCTTCCACCTATTAAGTAACACAAGGCAGGTTGTACTCGTGGTACGGACTGTTTCTTAAGCTGTATGTTTTACTCTGTCAATGTTCTAAACCCTTACAGATAAGCACACACTCTTTCAGTTCCGAGCTAACTAAATATAAACATTATTAAAAATCATTCTTGAATCTCTTTTTGTTAGGGCTGTCTATTTGTAACGCCAGCATACTAGAGATACTCACTAAGTTGATGAGCAAAGTTGAAACATATTTATTAACAAAAACTGCTACCAAAAAGCCGACATAAGCGTGTAATGTGTGGTCACAATACCTTTGTGTCGTCTATCCAGGGGGAGGCCAAAGGTGAATTTACAGCAATTTAGATAGAAATATCGGTCTCTCTACTAACTCCAGTAGTTCCACAAAAAATTGTATTTGAAAGAAAAGCTTAAGATTATAGGCAAATTCAACAAGTTAGTAAATTAAATAATTGCGGTCCAAATCTGTACCCAAATAATGAAAAAATTAGATGAAGTGCCTCCAGTTCAATGCGACCGCCGTTGTGGCCCTCGCATATTCTTTGTACTCAGACGTTCAAAAACTATACCGAGAAGCTTGTCAAAATAATAGTAATGTTCACACATTTTTTGATGTTAAAAACAACTTAGCCTCGAGATTTCGAACGTCTACTATTACGGACAACATCTCGTAATCACATTTGAAGTTTCTGAAGTGATGACTAATGGTTTAAGTAGCAGACGTGAAACACGAAAAAGCATATTGGCATCTGCGAAATAGATCGCCCGCCGCGTCCTTGTGAGAATAGACGAAGCAATGCATCCATTTAACCCGGCACATGTGTGTTGACTATTCAAAGACATAATCGCTACGGACGAATGTCAATAGAGCCGCAGTTCACTTATATTCAATTCTATTGAAAAAGCAATATTAATCTTATGCTGTGCATTTACAGGCCCAATGCTACGGGCCAGGAACTTCGCAGGTGAGATGCTTGTGCATAAAAACATATAGTCGTCAGTGTTTTCAGTCAACTGAGAGGTATCAGCAGGGTAGAAAAAACCGAGCTAAAAAGTAGAAATAAATGCGTTCTATACCACGGAGCGCGTTCTATGAAGTGTTCGATTGTAGTGAAGTGTCAATCGGGTGTAGTTGGACAGCTCTTGCGCCCATAAGGAGGCTACCGATCGTGCTGGCATTAATTGTTTGAGAGCAAACTTTTTTTAAGTGTCAGTTAGATTGTCATCAAATACCCCACAAAGAGCGCGAAATGGGTTCAGTTGACGCGGTCAACTCCCTGGTCGCCCAAATTCTACGACGGGATACTCTTGAGGAAGCGTTCAATGCATTTATTGTGCATAAGGTAAAATTATATTATCGAATGGGTGGTTGCATGCGTGTGAGTTGTATAGACCAGTGACAATGCAGTGTTGGAATACAATACAATACAAACACGGCTTCAATTTCAGCCTATAAAGTTTATGAATAATTCTAACGTTCTTTGGATGTTGCATATTCTTACTAATGTGCGCAATTTTTGGATATTATACCAATTCCTAGAACAATGATTATTCGTAGAAAAACATAATTGCAACAATGCATAGAGAATTTCGACATGCATGCTTTCCAACAAGCCAGTACATATAAGTTCTGTCTGAGCAGAAGGTGGGTATTTTAGTGAAACTTCTTTACAAACAAATTTGAACAATTTTAAATCAGTAATTGCACACGAGAAAAAAATTAGCTTGGGTAGAAAGATATAGGCCAACTGAAATTGGCAGACTTGTTTTCATTGAATGTGCCTATTTTTGCTAATAATTATCTCCTACGGGTAAGATTCTAGTGTATTTATGCCAGCAATCGTTGCTTATTTATTTGTACACAGTTCGTTTTAATTTAAAATTGACTTATGTCCAGTCGTGAATAGACTCATGAAGACGAGGCAGCAATTGAACACGTTAATGGTTAATCCCCGGTTTTTCCTTTAATTTTTCTTTCGACACATCGGTGGTAGTCTAATTATTGGGTAATCGAAAAAGTGCTGACTTTTTTTTTTAGTTGCATGACTTTACAGATACTGCACCATCGTGATGCTGGCATTAGTGTCACTAGCAAATAGGCAAATTTTTGAGATTGCCTTCATTGAGACTCAGTTCCTGTTCCTACAATTTCTGTAAAAATTCGCCTTACTTCACAGTTTTATTACTATCAAGTCACAAAGGCTGCCCAGGATTATAAAAAATTGTGTTTATAATCAAAGCGCGTTATCGTTAGAGGCAGTTAAAAAATGGCTTTGTAATTGGAAATTTCAAAGATGCTGTTTGTAGCGGTCGACCAATTACAGTTGCAAAAGTTGAATAAGACTGACACGTTGGCAACCATGAAATTGCCAACAAAGTAAACATTTACTACCAAACAGTTTAAGAAATGTGAATATAAGATAAAGCGCAATGTTTACACATCAGACGAATAGATGTAAAGAAATTCTGCTCAATCAAAATTTTTATCTGTCAAAAAGAGGAATGAGACGAAATCAGGTCGTTTCTAATGTGGTGTATCACGGGCGACGAAAAGTGGATTACATATTGCTATGATGTGCGAAGCGAATCATTGTCCCACAATCAGTGGCAAAACCCAGGTCGACGTCAGACAAGGTAATGTTATATGTTTGGAAAGAAATCATGCATTATGAACAACTGTTGCCTGGTAAAACAATAGATTCGGACCTCTATTATCAACAACTAAATAAATTCTAACAAGCTATTAGAAAAGATCGACTGGAGCTAGTAAAAAGGAGAGGTGTCATCTTCCATCAGGACAATGCCAAACCACATATACCCTAGTTACCCGGCAAGAATTAAGCGAACCTAGATGTGGGATTTAATGCATCTGCCGTACAGCCCGAATTCTGCATTATCTGATTCAGTCTTTGCGGGACTCCCTTAATGGTATTCATTTCATTTTCGTTCAGGAACCACATAAGTTTTACAAGATAGAATTATGGTGTTACCAGCAAAATGGCAGAAGGTCATCGATTCAAATGGCACATACATAGTTAAGTAAAATTATTTTAAAATGTAAATAATATTTACTTTTAATTTGGCTTAAACTGTTAATACTTTTACAACTATTGAATAGGTTCAGTGATGGGGTCACCACTGTGAAAAATAGTGAAGAACGGATAGAACAGATAGTACATAAATGTGCATAAAGAAAATTCCGATATTTTTATAGCAATCATAACTAGTTTTCGTTATTGGTATCTTCTTCCAAAACGATCGCAAAATCTTATATCTATATGATATTAGATGTCACATTTTTGAAATAGTCAAATTTGTAGTGATAAAACGTTAGAGAGCTTGGTATGGGCTATAAGCAGTTTGTTATTTTGGTGCGTACTTTAAGTCAGACAGTAATGAAAGCATAGGGCTTGGGCATCGGCAGTTTCGCGACTATGCAGCTTATATAAAAAAAAAACAGCGTGTAGGAGGGTAGCACAGAATATAACTGATAATTATATATATATATGCGTTTTATGCGCATTCTACGTGTAGATGATGCATGTTGAGTGGATATAGCCGCGTTTCGTTAATAAGAAATGGAATTCTAAGTTCTAAAAGTGCTAAAAAACCTTTTTTTATTTGTATTTGATGTAGGAGCCTCTAGATGGACCGAAGGGAGGCTTTAACTCTGGACTCGTCGAAGAGCTGTCGGTTGTTCTTTCCAACCCCACAGATACCTCGGACGCGGCACTCCGAACTTTCGTCTCCTTGGCTACGCAACTGCGCAGCCACAAACAGCTTGCCAAGTTATTAACCATCCTTGAGCAAACAGCAAATGAAGGTGCGAAGCGGGTTATAATATACAAATAACAAGAATTAACTGATTTGTGTTTGTATTGGATTCGTCAAATTCATTACCTCGTTACAACCTTCATTACCCCATTTACAAACCTCTTAAACACCTTCGAAATATCTACATGCGTTCCTTAAGGAGAATAGATTAAAAAACAGGTTATGTATGCTTACCCTTAAAGGGACCATACGCTGATTATTATTTATCAAGCTAAAAAGGCTAACTGCTAATTTTGCGTCTCGCAATTATTTTTGTTTTCATTGGTTATAGGGAAAGTTTACCCTCGTCAGGTGTGTGAAGCTGTCATGGGAGGACTTGATTTCCAGCATGCCGAGTTTTGGGTGCAAGCCCTTGGCCTAGTAGAGAGACTCCTACCAAAACTCGACTATAAAGGTTGCAGGGACGTGCTCAAGTTGATTTTTGAAAAGGTATTAATTTCTTTAGATTTTAAATGCCTTGAACAAAGATTTTACGTAATCGGCATACTCAGAAGCAGTATGAACTCACCTGTTTATTGGAGATTATTCAGTACTGCTGCGAGCAGCACCCAGAACTAGTTCCAAGGATACAGAGTACATTGGAATCTATTGCTGTGTGTGACTGTGTAACAGTGACACGCTTCGCAGCCTTTTAATTAATGATTTCCCATAGCCACGCCAGTTTTTACCCCTGTTAATTGATGTTGCTGTAACACATGTAACATACTTTTCTTATTATTTCGACTGTAGACACAACGGATCCCGTCAACAGTCAATTTGTCCTGTATGCGACAGCTACAAGTGCTGGAGTCCGTCGCCGAGTTGCTTCTAGATAGAGACCAAGCGCTTTGTCCGTCATACCTGGTTCTCGATGATGTGCAAAAAAGACTCGTCAACAAGGTATGATGATGACCTGTCGCCATACTGTTCTTCAAAAAGTTATTTTAGAGCAAATCAACGGTACTTCTTTGTTACCATTTTGTATTAAGTTCTAGGCATACAACATAATAAAACTGAATTTCGAATCTCATTAATGATAAAATACCATTAATGAGATTCGAAATCAAAGAAAACTGGCATCTAATTTATTTGTTTCGATTGTCTTTCTATAGGATTGGCCACACTGGAAGATCGCGAGGCTCGTATCGTCCTTTGTTGATAGTTTTCGGCCAGTGGCACAGCTTGTCACTATAGTTGGAAGGTATGTAAACACAAAAGTTCAAAATGCTTGAATAGAATTTTTTAATGGGCACTAGGAAGCAAAAGGTGCAGCTTGCTTTTATGAAAATATTATGGTACCGTTTTTCTGATGTGTGTAGATTTTTTCATCGTCTAATATAACTTGTCAGTATTTTTGTACTTTAATACATTCTGTCCAGATCGCGTTTAGTCCCAGTCGTGGGGCATTCCGCTGCAAGCGGCTACTCCTGGCAAATTGACCGCGTATATGCGAGATTCAGCCTCAAGGTATTTTTTTCTGTAGAGTCAACATTCTTACTAATAAACTTAGTACAAATTAAGGGCTACAATTTATTTTAAGTGAACTCATCTATTCGTATTTATTGTTCTATTTGAGAATTAGGTTTGATAATTTTGTATTTTTGCCGCTTGTTTTTTACGTCAGAAAACAAGTAATAATTACTAGATCCTGATCCAGCGTTTGTCAAGTATAATTCAATTTCACATGAGAAATACTTAAAATTTCTTTCCCTCGTTTGTGCGTTACCGTTAAATTTTTTTCTTAATAATTCAAATTGCAGAGTTAAGGTTGACATTAAAGCTAGAGTTCTCATCTGTTAAACAACCTCTGAAGCACTGACTTATGATAAATAAAATTATTATAAAATATTTGGTGCAAAATCGTCGCCTAAAATAATTATTCAGTTTTTAAAGCTCATGGCTACAAATGACTACTTATCGTTGAAGTCAAAAGTTGGGCACATGAGGGATATCAATACTGGTGAAGGAAGATGACTTCAATCTTTCGTCGTGTCGTTTAAACAGGGCCAGTTGCCCTACAGTCCAGAGGCAACTCGCAGCCAAACAAACTTGCTGCGGTACGTTTTAGCCCAGCCATATTCTCGTGAAATGGTCTGTGCAATGCTTGGGCTAAACAAGCAGCAAAAACAGAGGTGCATTGTTTTGGAGAAGCAGCTCATCGAGCTAATAGTAACGGCAATGCGGCGGTGAGTTCAATTTGAAAGTTATTGTCTTTTTTTTTTATTGTGATCTAAGCGTGTACCGCACAAAAAGCCATAAATTTATAGTAGTGCTTGTGTTTTTTTCTGTGTAGTTATCAAGATACAAGATACAAATACAAATTGTTTCAATCAATTCTTTGATTTTTTCAGTGTACCCTTATAACATTTGTTCTTTTCGCTATTTCTCAGGTCCGAGGTAGAGCCACTCAACTCTGAGTCTCTATGCCAGTTTTGGCAGAATATCAGCTCGCAGCTAATCTACTTTGTCTTGTTCCAATACATCTCTTTCCCAGATCTGGTTAGCAACTTTGAGATTCTTTTACATTTCGATGTAGAATAAACCTTGTTTGAAAGAAACACAGCTGTTCGTTGTAACGAATCGCATGTGTATTACAGTCATTAAAGATGTTACTCTGTTATCTTCAATTCCATAAATTGTTTTGTCACTTATGTTTTTGGAATTTAGGTAATCGGTCTTCATACACAATTGGCTGCCTCCCCACTTCGTAAGGGGCGAGATCAGTTGATGTGGGTACTTCTGCAGTTTATTTCGGGATCAATCCAAAAAAATTCGCTCAACGATTTTCTGCCCGTTTTACGTCTCTACGACTTACTCTATCCGGAGTCTGAACCCCTACCGTTTCCTGATGTCACCGACCCCAGTTGCACGCACAAGCTTGCGGTGACATGCATATGGGTACATCTTATGAAAAAGGTAACAAAACTTCGATGGTGGATTGTCAAACGTGTTATTTTGTTGATGACTGCTTATGCCGCCATTAAGTAAGTAGATTATATTGTCGATTAGAAGGTATCAATTACGATTTGACTAGCCAAAGGTTCACAACAAATGTGAAATTGGTTTAAGAATAAGCCAACATAGGATAACGAACACCTGAACCAACGGATCAAGAGTTAAGTCATTTTGTTATAATGGCCACGTAGCTCTTGTTTTTCGCGCGCACTTTATCTATAGGTATCAATATTTGGCGCTCTGATTGATTGATTAGTTTATAGCTTAGCAATCGAATGTGGATTAACGTCATCATATATTTCTTTAACGAATCTATTTAGGCTCAAGGGGAGCGCGGGATGCAACGTCCAGTTCCACAGGCGCTTTCAGTTCACCTTGAAACACTTCAACAGGCCTTGTCACAACATCAAACATCCGATTATTGGACGTCTCTTCTATGTAACGCTTACTCCACAAATGTCGAGTGTTTTTCTCGGCCCATGGGAGTTCTAGTAGAAGCGATTCAGGGTGAGCTCATGGCCGTCGAGATTTGGTATAATAACTACTTATTACAACACTTACTGAGTGACCTTTTTTGTTTCATTTGTTGGTGAGATATAATTGAATTTTCAGGCTATTTGAGTGTCTTCCTTTAGGTAGAATAAGAAGTTACATTTTATTTGACACGGCAGCAAAGAACTCACCGTTTTTTCAGGCGTCAATTTTTATACAGAATGTGTTATCATGCAAATGTGTTGTGCACATAAGTAACTTGACAAATAGATCGTATTTGTAACACCTCTTGCTTGTGTCATACAGGCAGTTCTGGGGGACATGCTACGGCTACGCAGCCCCTTTCAATGGGCATGTTGGATTCGTTGACCGTTCACACGAAAATGTCACTAATTCACAATATTGTTACTCATTTTATGAAGGTCCGTATTTCTACATATTTATGAAACGTACACCCCAAACGTCTAACTAGCATATAATGTTATCACTATGACTTTATCAACTATATATATATATATATATTATATGGAATGCTTAATCATCAGCATCTTACTATATTTACACGATATGATATATAACGATACATATGATGCTTCCCTAATATGAAATTCTAGGTTGCACCCACACCGGCATCGAAACAGCTTAGTCAAAATCAACAAAATCAGCCGCAGCAGATTCTTTCGCCAGCTCTCGTTGAGACCTACTCTAGACTATTGGTTAATATCTACTGCATGACTTTAATGTGCTCGTTTCGAGACCTACTAGTTAATATAAATAACTAGTTTGCAATAATAAAATTTGTTCACTAGCTTTTTTGATCTTTTTCATCCCTTTCTTTAATTATTTATACCAAAATGTCGCATATTTATAACGGATCTTACCTTATGGTACACTTACCGATTCCAGAGTCTCTGTTTGTATAGTCGATTCATTTACGATTTTTTTCTGGAATAGAATAGAAGCTCGAAGAGCAACAGCTCGACAATCACGGCTGGGAGAACCAGTATGCGATGGCCTCACAGAGATATCTATGTAAATAGCACTTGCTCATTAACGCCCATTTTTGCATATGGCTTATTGACTTCTTCAGGTGTACAACGAGATCGAGTCTCTTGGCATTAAGGGATTCATGTCACATGTTCTGCCTCACGCATTTCGGCAGCAAGCCTGGGCGATACTTCACACACTTCTTGAGATGTTTTCGTATCGTCTACATCACATTCAGCCGCACTACAGGTTTGAAATGCGTGGAAAAATGATACCGTTTATGTAATACCTTCGTTGGTTTTATCTTTACTTTTTTTTAATTATTAAGGACGCCCACATAAAAAAATCATGTAAATCTGCTTTATTAGGTGGTGAATCAACGCAGTACGATATATGATGTGTCACCAGTTCACTGAGTAGAGCCTGTGATTAAACGCATTTTCAAGCACATAGCGACTAGTGTTATAAATATTACATCAGTAGTACTTTAAAATACGTGTAACTAAACGAAATATATAACTGCACTCGATATGAGAGGTAGCTTGGGTGCTTAACCATTGCCTTGAAAAGCCGCGAATCACTGGTACTAGCTCCGTTAATGACATTAACTACTACTACATAATATTAAAAAATCAGTCAAATCGTGATTATTCATAAGACACAACTTAACAATTTTGGTCATCTCATTCTTTGTATTTCTATGTAGGATTCAGTTGCTATCTCACTTACATATGCTGGCCGCAGTTCCCCAATCAAACCAGACACAGTTGCACGTTTGTATGGAGTCTACCGCATTGCGCCTTATTACCGGACTAGGCAGTGGAGAGGTAGTGTAATATAAATATTCACACGATTTTTCAAACGCGCGCATAACCTCGTTGCGTCACGTCGTGAACGACTAACGCTTTGGCTGCAAAAAAATCAGCGATGGGCGCTAATTCAAGGTCCGCTAACGATTTGAAAGGCGTAATTAATTAAAGAAATATTTTTGTGTATCATTTGTTCAAATATTATCATAGAGCGGTGATTCCTTATTGTGCAGCCATTTTTGTTTTTACTTTTGTTGATTTTATTCCTCTTACATTAGTCATCTGCTTTTCAATGTATGACTATCTGAACAGGTACAGCCACAACTATCCAGATTTCAGGCTGAGCCGAAGTCATTGCTTTCGTTGGACTCGGAAGAGCTCAACAAGGTTTGTACGTAATTTTCATGATGCAATAGGCGTGAAAAATAAAGAAATGAGGCAGAAATTTGATTTGCCATATCTTAAGATTTATCGGTATTAAACGTCCCTGTTGTATGTTAACACCTCTCCGGCATGATTGTAGATTAAATTAACAAATAATTGTGTATGTGACAGGTGAATGGATTATTACGGATGCAATTAGTTAATACTGTGGAGTCGAATGGGCTCCCATTGGGATACATGGATTTTGAACGGGGTATTATCGTTTCGAAGTTTCAGTTAGTAAAATGTTCCGATTCAATTTTGTTATTGCAGCTCGTTGACACGAGTATGATTTATTACATTTTCGTGTTTGTATTTTCAGGCTCTGATATTGTCGCTAGCCCGGGCAATCCACGTAACTGGGTCAGAAAGTCTCTCAACCGTATGGTGCAAGGTATAAAGACCCGAGCAAATTAAGACGTCAAAAGAGTGACACCAAATCAACTCTCAAATAGAATTGACAACTGGGACCTGTAACCTTTAAGAATTTAAATCTTCGCTTACTTACAATATCCACCTTAACGTACTAAAACCCCGACACGAATTTGCAAGAACGCTAATTATTGGCAGGGATTATGTTCTTCTTTCATTTTAGGATCTTCTACAAGCCGCACTGACAAATACTCCTCATAGCTGGAGCAGTTTAACCCTTGATTGCTTCCCTAGTTCGCTTGCGGAATTCCTCCGGGTCAACCAATCGCAGCGTGAAAATAAGGTATCCTAATAAATCTACTCATCGATTACATCTCTCTAGTTTAAACACCAGCATTCTAAACAAACAAGTATACTGCGCAGGAAATAACGCATTATTATTTGCACTTTATATACATCGTGCCAAAATGATTACTCTTATATAAATCCTAATATCAGATTTGATATGGCTTTAAAGCGCCATTTCGACATGTGCTAGACGGAAACTACCTTTTTGTTCAGCTTCGGCCCACTTCGCTTATTGTGAAGTTCACCGTTGTGCTACTTCCTAGCGCTTTTTTGTTTTTTTCCACTCTACATCGCTTCATTGTTTCACAATGCTATAGGCCCAATTAAAACGGTCAGTTGAGGAGGAATATCGCAAATGGAAAACGATGTCTAACGAGAACGACATCGTTGCGCACTTCTCACAATCACCCAGTACCAGCGGGCAAGCTGGTGGAGGTGGGACTAATCCACATCTATTCGTATGTCTCCTATGGAAGATGCTTCTCGAGAATGATCGAATCCCTCCGTTAGCGTACAAGATTCTTGATCGTCTCGGAGCAAGAGCACTGTCTCTGCACGTTCGGACGTTCGCTGATTTTCTTGTTTATGAGGTTTGTATTAGGGTGCTTTGATTTTTGTACACATATCAAAGCCAGGTGGTATCGAGGGCTATCTTTACCTCGCCAAAGTAAGTAACATGAGATCTAATCAATTAATTGAAGGACTAGTCTAGTTTTTAATAAATTTGACTATTTTAAAATCTAGATTGCTCGCAACAAAAATCTAATGCTTTGTAGTCTTTAGCATCGTTTAGGTTATTTAATTCCACTAAATCAACCGATTATACAACTTTCACGTATTCGGGTCGCCAAGCATGTACAGTAACGAGATCGTTGATTTGATGTAGGTTAATAAACAGTTAACAGTTAAAGCTTGGTGCTGGTACTAAGGCAAATCAATTTTTACCGTACCGTATAATTTTTTTTCTTACTATTCGGCAGTACTTTCTGTCTAACCAAGCCCCGGAATCACCTGTTCTTTGATCTAGAACCAAGGACTTGCCCCATCCAAAAAGATTGCGCTGATGTGGGTCTTCCTGAACATATTTGGGATTTATCCAACAGATTTATGAAGCGATATAGGCATCGTACAAGCAGCGATTATTGCAATTATTAGTTTGTTTCCTTTGTAGGGATAATACCTTCTATTTTATAATTTTTCCTTTCGATTTCAAATTGTAGGTATCCACGTGTGGTCAGGACCAGATGCTCCTAAATAAAAGTATCGATGCGGTGAGCGACTTGATCTGGAAGTGTTACGTCATTCCTCTTGACAGATTAATTCTCACGCTTGCACTGCGACCCTTCGAGGGTAACGAGCAGGTACATCTTTATTTCACCAAACAGTTTGTGCATGCGCTCTATTTGTTTTTGGTTAAAATTTCTATGGTAGTTTAAAACTCTGCTATCTTCAAGTGTGGATCGTAATGGGCCGTTTTATTGCTCGTATTAACTTAGGCACGTATGTTTCTGTATTATTATTTGTCTCATCTAATAGCAGGTGGGCTTCTTCATTATTCAACGACTTCTCATTAGTAACGGCGAGTTCAAGTCGCGCGTCTACGATTTCGTCAAAGTGAGTTGTTGTAACCGCTGTGAGGCGCAGTTTTGTGCGAGTTCTTATTCTGTTTCAGATAAACCTAACCCCTGGGAATCGAGTTCTGCAGATCATGAACACTAAATTTACCACGAGTGGTCAATTTCACCATCAAATTTTTCAAGCTCATGTATTTGAATGCTCCCACCTCGCGAGCCAATTTTACACTACTAAAAATCACCTTTCAGTTATAAAAGCAATAACTTCTTTTGAGTCAGTCATTTTGACCAGGCACGGTTGATACAGGTATACAGAAAAAGCGTCGGTAAGGTTAGTGTTCGTAAATTATCTTACTGAACAAACGGTTTCATACAAATCAATTAACAGTGACAGCTGCTACCGGATCTAGTTGTATTGTTGTATATTCATTGGTTGTGTCACGTACGTGTATATACTGACATTTGCGTCGTCTACAGGAAAATTCGCCTGAGCATTGGACGCAGTCTGACTGGCACGAACGTCATCAACAGTTCCAGCGAAAGTACCCTGAGAAATTTTTCTGGGAAAATCTGCCTGACTCGAATCAACCCCACCACTATTTACCCGTGTACTTCGGTAATATCTGTCTGCGATTCTTGCCGGTAAGTGTAGACTGAACTAGCTACCTATGAGTACAATTAATCATAACCTTCCTTCATTATCGGTCCAAAATGTCTATTCTATGCGCGTAATGTGTAAGGATGTTGCAATAGAAATAAGACACATATTACACAAAGACAGGAATTGTTTTTTTGGAATAGTATTGCCGCAGAAAGCTTCTTGGATTCAAAACCTCAAAACACCCAAACCTCCATGACTTGGTAATGCATTAATCAAAAAGCATTTTTTGCTGTGCAAAATAATCGGCGGCGCTCATTAGTCAAATAGCTATAGTACAAGCAGACTTTCTAAAGTGCATTTAATGCACTAAACAGCTATTTTCATTATAAGATATAACGCTCTATATATGAGTGTTTGAAAATCCGTCAGAAGTATAACTATATGAAATGTCGTGTTGAGGTTCTATATAGTGCGAGTTAACTAAATATTATTACTTGCTTATTGCGTGACTCTTTTTTGAATAGGTAATGGATATTGTTATTCACCGTCTGATCGAGCTCCCGGTAAACAACTCTACGACAGTGTCTGTTGAAAGTTTGCTCGATCATCTTGGACTGCTTTATCGCTTTCATGACCGTCCGTTGACTTATCTCTACAATACCCTTCACTATTACGAAAGCAAGGTGTGTTTATGGCGCCGCTAGCGCACGCATTCGGTACCTTACTGATACGGGGTTAAGATGTACGAACAAACTCAAAGAAAGCTATGTCCACCACTTTTTCTATAAATGAAATTATTTTACAAAAATCGAAATCGATTTTATTTAGAATTAATTAACTAAAGCAAACACCTCTAGACTTGTTGCTGAGCAAAAGCGAATACTAGTACGATACTGAACTGTACCCCATCTTTTTGTGAAAATCATGAGTACTAGAATCCAACGGTACAGCGCCGATATTCTTAATGACCATTTATGTGTCATATTCACTATCTAGCTCCGTGAGCGATTTGGACTACGGATCAAATTGGTATCAGCGATTACCGGCAGGATGAACGAGTGCCCTCTTAGTGATTATTTCCGTCAACTCGTCAGCCAACAACAACAATCGCAAGAGCAAAAAGGAAGACCTGGAGAAAGTGGATCAAATCAGAGTGGTGCAGCGCCACCTTCAGCTGTAACTCCTCCGGATATGGACTACTACAGGTACACAACGTAAAAAGCTTGTTTAATCTTTGCTGTTATGTTCTGGTTGATTGGCAAGAGAATTACGTTTATTAGGTATTAACGTCAGCTTATTTGACCCTGGGCTATTTGGATGCTTATTTTACCTTGGTAGCCTGTTCAAACGCTCCTTTAAAGATAATGCAGTTGTAATTTACTTGCCTTCTAAGCTTAGGAAAGCTATGTGAGGTAGTCTAGGTTCGAAACCGGACGCTGACACCTGCATTTGGCGCTTGTGGGAAACAGCCATCTGAAGCATTGCTTAACTAAGGCAATAGCACTGAACTAGAAGCAGAAGCATTTAACCTGTTTCGAACACGTGGCGGGTTCGAAATATAGGGCTAATTAATGATCAAGTCTAAGCTAATTAGCTAATTTTCACATAATTGGGACGCCTCGTAGCAACATAGGGCCCCTGGTTACATTATAAGCTACTTTTTTTTTTGTACTGTAGTTGAACTTTATGGAACTAGTTTTGCAGAACACTTGCAAATCGATCACATTTATATATAAAGGTTTATCTTTGCTTTGGTTCCTTATATTCTCATTTAGGTTTATTCTCCAGAGGATAGTAGAAGCTATAACAGGAAAGAAGACATCTCCCGTTATTGATTGGAGGTAAGAGAAATATCGAATGGTATCAAATAGTCTCTGTTCGTTAAAGTAGGCTAGCTGCCGAAGCTGCCCAACATGATTTTGTCATTGTGTCCCCATTCAGTCAAATTTCTGACTATTGTAGTAGCAGCCCTATTATTGAAACTTGCAAAATTGTTTAATATAGTGTTAATTCGTACATAATCATTGGAATAGGATTTTAGGTAACTAAATTATTGATATATGCACTACTAGCTGGCATATCTTAGCATTACCTTATCTTTCGCTTTTGTCTATCGGCAGATTTAATGAATTTTCAAACGGAGCAGCGCACACTTTGCACGTGACATGCATTGAATTGATGGCTTTGCCAGTGGCTCCAGCAGCGGTTGCCAACGGACTTCTTGATGTTATTTTACTGGGTAGGGATTCCATAAGGATCGATCCTAGCCTAAACCTCACTTCAAAAAGAATTTTTAATTATTAAGCAGGCAATATTCTGCATTAAACAAATGAACGCATAATTAGGATTTTCCTTGACAGCATTATAGATTTATTATTACTTATTTAGTGCAAAAACGCAGAATGACAACGACAAATACAGCCACATTATGATGATGGGGAATAATTTCGCTTTTTGTGTTTTTAGGTCACTCACATAACGTGGTGCCACGGGACGCTCTGCCCGACTGGATTAACGCTATTGGTCTGGTGTTAACAGCCCTTCCTGAAAGCTACTGGGCTGTATTGAACGACCGTATACTCAAACTCATTGAGACTTTGCCTCCGACAACGGATATCTTCCAGGTCAGGACAATATTTCATGGCCTTATGTATTTGGTGCCGAAAACCGGTCATAATCCAAAAAAACATAAATTTTAAAACCCAGCTAACTCTATTTGTCAAGCCTATTTGTCTTTACCCATTGAATTCGTGAAGTCGAGTCCTGATCCTGTTGCGTATAAACGCTACTAGTTAAATTTATTCTCAGTTTATTATTGATGCTTATTGTAGGGACGAATAAAGGAATAAATGGCAGAAATTCAGGAACTTTGATAATGTGTAAACCAATTCTCTAATTACAACCGGACTGAGCATGCACCTACTTATATATCCACAGTATATGGATCTGGCCGGAAAGCAGAAATCTTACACGGAATCATCCACATCGTATGTTGTTGCTCTCGTACACGCCGTTTGGTATCACGCGTCGATCGGACAGTTGTCACAGATACCTGTTTTTATCAAGGATCGGCTCAAACCCGTTATCCGCACCGAAGAGCAGGTAAGTAACCATGTTTTGTTTGTTATAATGGTATTACCGTAATCTCGGTTTCACATACACCAAAAATCCATTACCATAAGGAATAATTTCAGATGAATGTTTTAGATAGCGTGAAGAGGACATATCAGATCGTAAAGAAACTACATGCAAAAGTCACAATGGCAACATCAGTTGAATTTTTTTTATACCTGTTTATACCTGTATGAACTATATGAAAACAAAAATTTCACGAAACCATACTACTTTCATTAAAACTTAAAGGATCGCTTACTTACTATTTGAAAAAAAGCTAGTAATTGCCTCTAAACACTTGCCATCAGTTCCAGGTGCCTTCTTTGCTAGAGGCACGATTGATACTATGGATCTTATTATGGACTGCAATGTTTCTTAAAACGGACATACTACGATCTAATGATTATCCACTATTATATCGTTTGTACAGATGTTGGTCCTGTGTCAACTGGTCGCTCCATTTTTCCAGCGAATTTCTCTGGAACGAACACGAAGTTTAATGGAAATCACGAGAGAATTGTACGAAATTCTCGAAAATGTGGATAAAGCGCAGGTAGGCCAGCGTGTTCATCATACTATAAGATTGCGTACGCACGAAACTCCAATAAAGCGAATCACTTTATACGATTTAGCCTTCAGGAACGTGAGCAGAGATTTTTACAGATGTATGACCTCAGCGGTCTTAAAAAATGGAAGATCCTAATTGTCATAAATTGTTTTCATCATTAAGTCCATTCTTTTATGAAGAGATGCATATGGTAATTAATTATGTATGGGTATTATAGAGCCAGCTCCGGTACATGGACAACATTGTCGATCTATTTTATCATATCAAATACATGTTCACCGGTGACTCCGTGAAGGCCGACGTGGATCATGTTATCCGAAACCTACGACCAGATCTTCAGCTAAGGCTTCGCTTTATTACACATTTGAATGTGGGAGCCCAAGCTGGGGCTGCAGGATCAACTGGAACCGATAGCCAAACTGGGTCTACCACCGCCGGCACTAGCCAAGGTCAACAGAATATAGGCACTTCGGCGGGTCAGACTGGTAGCAACGTTCAACAACAGTGATCTTGTACTTAATTGGTACCACCATTAGTCATAAAGTTGGCGGATCTCGTCGAAAGATAAACATGTTTATAAACAGCCTAGATGGTACCTAATCGATGATAGATTTTTTCAAGTATGTTTGAATAGCATCAATCGACGGGTCAAAAATTGTAATGCGAATTTTAAAGGCGGCCGCTGTTGGTTATTAGACCTTAATATGTGTATGGACGTTGTATATTTTTTCTGTTTATAGATAAATATTGTCGTGGTCTAACGCGCAATTAACAAGAACACATTGCGCGATATCATATCACCTATAAATGAGGCAGTCCTCCTACAATTACTTTCTATATTGATAGAACGTTGTGCATAGGCTCATCTCGAACTCGAACGATTAACTCCTAGCTTGATACTCAAGCACAAATATTTAAACTACAGCTATTCCTATTATGACGTACGATGAGAAAAAAATATGATGATGTATATATTGGGCAAGCGTAAAAAGTTATTTTCAAATAAAAGTAACGACTTACTACAGGAAGTCCAAAGTAAAAATGCACCAACCAACTTATTGACACCCATCTCAGTTAGCCTTACTAACCGCTTGCATGTGCCTTAATTGTGGCGGAACTAAGATTCATTATTACCTATTTAAGAGATCTTAAATAAAGGTAAATGAGAGGTAAAATAAGACGCGGTATATAACTACTCATCAATATACATGTCTCATATAATGACAATTTAACAAGGGTGGAGCTGGCTCGCCATCAACTCTTGAATTATTCACGATTAAGAGGGTACCAGTGTATTGCTTTAAATATATGAACACTATGACAGTTCTTGCTTGGGTACTTAGATGCTACTGTTACAACATTATTTTCATATAACAGTCAACCATGGGCTAGTAACGGTATGTTCAAAAAAAAACTGCGTATCTACGTTAAGCCAAAACTGAAATAGCAAAAAATTTTAGCCGTATTATTTTCGGTGTTTATTGGTGATTATAAACGAATCGTTTTTTATAATTCCTTTCTTTGGTAAGACAGGATTCAATTACGTTTTTTTTTCTTACTAACAATAAAATTACAATAAAGCCGTTTAAAATTTCGGCCGCTCGTTAGGTGCCAGAGTGCTGTAATCTCTCGAAGACCAGAACTTATATTGTTTGTTCTCGTATTCCTGCCATGGCTCCTGCAACAATATTAATCACAACAGAGATCGGTTAGTATTCATAAGTTGTAGACTCAATTTTACGCACAATTTACATTCTGACTATCAATATTATTTTTAACCATTAATGACTACTATTCACTTCATATACATATTCAGAAAAGTTTATGTAATAATGATGAGGCTATCTCGACAAGATCTTAGAATTGTAAACGATAGTTAGATTCGCTGCTATAAAAAGCAAAAGTAGAAACCCTTTGTGGTGAAGTGTTAAAGAAAGCTAAATCACAAAAAAAAATTTGAAAAAAGACGTTCTGTTTGCCAAAAAAAAACTATTGTAGTGGCTCAAACCACTCTTAGTATGAAAATTCATAACCTAGTTTACGGTGCAGCACCCGATGCAACTTAACAATGCAAGCAAGACATAAAAGTGATATTGAAGTCGTATAACTAATGAGTCAAGGTTAAAAAGGTGACTAATGGATGATATGTGAAACGTATCGCCATTTGTACTTTTGTACGGCAATGCAAGCAGACTAGTTATCAATATGTGCTAACATATTCAGTATTGACAATTATTAAACGATACTCTGGCAAACAGTACGCATTAAAACCATGTAAGTTCATTGTCTTTATCACATACTGATGATTAGTTTCTTTCGATCCTGAGACTTACATATACACTTCTTTATCTTTTTGACGTTTTGCATGGGGACCTGCTCCCCGCATGCAGATGCGTGGCTATATCTGCGCATTACAGAAACAAGCATAAAATGCTTCCTTTATTAAAGCCAGGACTTCATTCAACGGGAATATGTGATATAGAGCTTTCGTTGCTTAATAAGATGTGTGATTTTTAATTAAAAATGGTACACCGAGATAATACAGAATTCTATATCACAGTTTTTTAAATGCTAAAAAAATAGATCTGTCTAACATGGTTGAAAACAACCTGAAATTTGAGAACAATCTTATTAGGCGAAAGCGAAGCCAATGTGCTCTGAAATTCTCTAGGTTTTGAACGACAGCAAACTAAATTTAGTAGGCAAATATTTCAGCTCTCCAGAAACTTGTAAATGGAAACCGACTGAATTAACTTCCAACTTCCAAATGAACATCCTTTAGTCTTGACAACTAATGCTTAGTCATCTCGTCTCTTTTCCTCGAAGCTCACGGAAATACATCAAGTTTCATAAAGACACTAGGCAAGGAGGCCTAAGTATAAACACAGCACGTACATGGTGTAAAAGTTTGAAAAACAGGAATCCAAGCGTTAAGAAGAAGGAAGATCAATGTAAGGGTGACCAGGCATCGGCACCCAAAGGTCAGCGACGCATTCTCGTAACGAAGAAGGGTTCCACGAAAAGAAAGCTTGAGGCTTAAAATTTCTAGTATTTCACACAAACTTATAATTCCAGATCTGATAATGCGAAAAATGAGTCAAAAATGGGTCAACCGTACAGACTCAAATTCAGTTAGAAATGCATATTCCACGAGCGAAACTTCAATCAACAAAAAACCCGCCTGGGACATACGGTGGCCATAGGCGAAACGTGGCTTAATCTCTACTGCCATGAGAAGAGAAGCCAGGCGAAAGGATGGCGCCGCCCTGGAGAGAAATCGAGTTCTGTGGTAGTATCAAATACGTTCGGACGTAAACTGATGGTAGTAATTGTAGTGGATATCAAAGGCAGGCATCTGCTAGTACGGAATAATTAAAGAAGTTACTTATGAAAGCACGAATTGTAAGTAGGTAGCTGTTTTGAAACTGGTTTTACAGGCGCAGTGCTGGAGCAAATGTATAATAGGCAAAAATGTAATTTACTAACTGCTGTGTCCGCCTATCGTCAATATTATTCTGAAATCCATCTTTTTAAAAGAAAAAACTCGAGAATTTCTACCGGTTGTTAGCATTTTTTTGGGCAACGGCTAGAACCAATTATGAAACAATTGTAATTAATACAATAGGTCGTTTATGCTATATGTAAACTGTATGTAGAATAATGGATTTGATGTAAATGATAGATCGTTTTTTATCTAGAAACCCAATGTCTACCGAAGCAATTCGAGCAAGCCTTTTACATCAAGTAATTTAACCAGGTATTCACATAGATATGAACGGTCAAAACCACAAATATCCGGAAATATACGGGAAATCATGTACATTCTGTAAATGTCAGATGCGATCAATAAAACAAATTTGACTTCTTATTTTAAAAAGAGAAATGCATATACGCAAATATCAGTTGTCCTGCAGCAGTTCATTACCGGGTTCTTCTTCTTATTCCACGACACGTCCGGGTTCATGATGGCAAGGCGGATACAGTATAACATGCAACCGAAGGTGCCAGCTCCAACAATGACCTGAAGTAACATAGCAAATAACAAAGACAACGAAGATATACACGTTTTAGGCCACAACGAGTCTTTTCGTTTAACCTCAGTACTCACATAACGTGGAAAAGCATATGAGACACTTTTATAATAAAAGTGTCTCATATGCTTTATACAAAGGCTCATATGCTCAACAAACATCATGCATGCATTAGTTAAGCATCTCTCGCAATTCCTATATTACGTTTTTTCGTTTGTTACACCGCTGCCAGCACTACTGACTGTATGCATGCGAATAGTGTTCCGAAAGCACAATAATTAATAGTAATAATCGTAATAATAGTAAGAATAATAATGGTAACGATAATTCGATAACCACCAATGTAACACTGGAAACCCATTCAAATTGAATGACCAAAGTACCAAAACGAATATTCCGTCGCGTATGAGATACCAATGATGTTCACATTTCTACTGATGTTATCGTCGTGTAAACGTGATCGAGTATTTATAAGTTGTTTATAAGCATCTCAAATGCATCTGTTGTAATTTTACTTCGGATCATCTGAATGTCATATTTGTCGTAATGAATTGAAGTACTTCAATAAACGCATAAAGAAGGCAGAGAATATCGTTTTGACATGCAAAACAGAGACTATTAGATCAAATCAGAATGTTCTTTGGGACGAGTATTGCCCCGAAGCGTTTGTGCTAATCATTAACTAGCTATGGTTTGGTCTTCCGTTAGCTGAAAAATTTGTGATGCTCGCTAACTTACGAAAAGTGGGATAAGGGCCGGGCTTTGCTTCATTCCGGAGATGGTTAATCCGTTTAGCTTGAAGTTTCCCATCTTCGATTTTTTCTTTTTCCTTAGCTGTGAAAGCACCAAAACACTAACCGTACCGACACGATTAAACAGAGGTCACACCATCTATTTTGTTTTACGCTATATGCAGACCGTGCCCTCCGCGGAGATGCCTACAGGCGGCAATGGGCTAAGAAGTGGAGAGCGTGCCACGCGGCAGAATTCGAACTTGAGTAGATGTAATGTCCGTTTCGGCCTATATTAATAGGCGCTTCCCATAGATTATTATAATAAACTACTAGAATGCCAAACAATGTAATGTCAAGTGAGTCTGTTCTTTCTGTATATATATTTTTTATTCTCTTTTTATTGTAAGGAAAAATAGTGAAATTTTATTTCTTACGCAAGAAACCTTTCAATACAAATCAATTTTATGCGGTACGAGAAAATGCGAGCTATGGCGAGGTACACTTTAGGACTGAAACATATTTTCGCTACCTGTATGAAATGAAAAATAAGTATAAATGTGTTGGCTATAATTTAATAAAGCGAGTTTTGCTCTTGCTAGAATAATGTCCTGTGCTCTTTAGGTCCATGCTTCAGGACCGCAAGTGGAAACTAGCAGATTCTGTGCAACGATTTTGGAAACATATATACTAAAATATTTCGACATTGAGGAAGATCACTTAGTTATGATCTACGTACGGACCTGTTGCAGGGACACCTAGCAACTGGAGACACGTAATCGCCGTGCACTGCTTGGCAATGGTCACACATGTTCTGTTTGGTCGCTTATAGAAACAACATATGCAGACATTAAAAAAATCGTTAGTGTGATCATTTTCACTGCGCTTACACAAGTTTTTATTTAACAAGCTTTTCTGTTCTAATTTAGATGAGCCAGCTGCAAGTTTACGAGAACTACATCAAGTAGGAGTCAAGTTTGGGTAATCAAGCTAAAACGTTTTAACATAATAATAACACTTTTATTATTATTATCAACATCATATCCCGAACTCGTCGAACATGAAGCCGCACGGTTTCTTTTAACGTTCATATTGCTCGTGTATACTAGAAGTTAGTAACAGCTCAAAATGCTGTTTATTTGCATGAAATTTATTATAAGTACTTTTATAAATCACACCCAATAGGTCCTTGGACCCAAAAACGTTTTGTAAGTAAGTTCCAGAAGATGAAACGAATGTGCAGTCGGCAAAATTTGAACCTGTGCGGGGATTTTATTGAACCTGAAATTTAACGGTCTAGCCAATTTTTTTGTTTTTTTGTCACACATACTTTCAAGCATAAACAGTGTCTGGCGTATATTTATTCCTAAATTGTTTGCCGTTATATTTGTGGCTGAACGTTCAGTGTAGCAACGGAATTGCAAACGGAATACTGTGAAATTGGAAAGCATTTATTTAGTATTCCAATAAATAAAAATAGGTAGGCCCGGTACTTCAGTAGACCTTGGGCCTACTTATTTTTGTGTTCTAGTGTTATGTCCAGCTGGACACGGTCGTCCATTAATTCTTCGCCGGTTTTATCTATAGGTTTGAACTCTATGTGTCGAATGTAGAAACCCGGCATTGTCGTAATGCACTGGGTCTGGCACCTGGCTCCCAGCGCGAGACGAGGCGTACCTATGACGCGGATTCGAACCTATATCACTACCTATCCCAAATATTTTTATATAATTACGTAACCAGCCTAGCTATTATAGAGACTTTGAGGTTCAAAGCAATTAGATCGCACTCAAATGGAACTACTTGCCACTAGAAAACAACATGCATAACTCCAGGAAAATAAATGCTCGATTCGCAGCCGGCAGGGTTCGAACCTGCGCGGGGAGACCCCATTGGATTTCAAGTCCAACGCCTTAACCACTCGGCCACGACTGCACGTGGATTCTCGAGAAGATGGGTGAAGCACGTTTAATAAAAGTTTGATGACGATGGTAACAATGCTGATTTCCTGAGCAGAACCCGCCGGCAGTAAACACTTTTATAGTGAATTAGCGATTGACGGAACTATAGGGTTAAAACGATAATGCGTGCACTGAATTTTACTCTAGCGAGTAAATTATGTTATAACGACGTTCAAGAACTTAATTAATTTCGAACAAGTCAAAATGCTATTCAGATCTCGAGGTGCAATGTATTGGCCGCTCAAACTTAAATGATTATTTGTTTAACAAAGTGAAGGATAAGGAATTAATAATGTTATCGTAGCGTTCTAACCTCAACGACCTCTTTCCAACGATCTGTTCTGAGAAATGAGCGAAACACCCAATCTGTTACGTCTCATTTTTATATCCAGTTGCTCATTTTAACCCATTTGGCAACTGATTTAGCCACATAAAAACATCCCTTATCTTATCAGCTTCGACAATGAATGACACAAGCAAACCAGGACAGGAACTTGTGTATTTTAGATATTGGAGAAAGAAGCTAACAGATATTCTGTTGTGTCTCAATACATAGTATCTAACTATCCTCACAATAAGGATTAATAGAGAAAATGGGTAGACAGGTTCGTTGTTTAATATCACACAGTACTGACTCAGTTCGAATTCCTATCGCGTCGACTGTACGGCGACGTCGCTGCCTCTTTTGCAAAACATAGGACTAACATTGATAGATTACCGGCCCAGTACCTAGAAAATCACATGGCTTAATATATATAGTATAGTAATCTTCGTTTATCATTATAAGTTATTGTTTGTCAATATTACTACCTGTACACTTGTATACGCACCTAACGGTGCTATAACTAAGACATGGTGATAACATGATGATTTGTCGTTTGGCAATGGCCAAGTATTGTTTACCTTAAGAATCGCGTTTTTAGCTTCAAGAGCGCGTTATTACAATCCTGTTCAGGTTAGCTGGAACTATGTTTGAAATTCAATGACCTCAAACATGGCTATAGTGGATTAAACAGAAGAGGACTTGCGATAACGATTTATTGCTGATCAGAAAAGCTATTGAGACAGCTTCGGAAATTTGTACCACGTGCGGCAATCGTTCGATAGCTAGAACAAACCTGTTTAGCAAAATGGCTCAAGGTAATTCCCGTCAAACTGGCAAAATCAAGTGACATATTTTTTATCCCAAAGATGTCGTCTTTAATTTAGCAAATAATTTCTCTCAGCCACAGAACCTTTATTGTACACGCCGTGTCTATTCCGGGTTGTTTCGCTACTTGTTTTTATTTTGCCCTTAGATGAACGAGAAATGTGAAAAATGCTATCTTTGTGCATGTGACATATTTTCAACATCCCAAGAGACCGAAAATCTGGTCATTATTTATGACTCAAACAAAGAACTACAAAAGCCAACTCGTAGAGTAGGGAAACAGCTTACCAATGGTGCATCGAACAGCGCAAGCCAGTATCAGCATGGAAGACATTAGCAACGGAGAAGACAATCTTTGATTAACTAACCGGTCATTATAATAAATGGCTAATTAAAAAATACCATGTAGTTTCAACATGTTTTGTACGAAAAACTTTTTTTATTATCATTGTATGCAATAAATTATTACAATCACCTTCATAGCGTCTTGCCTTTATGTGTTTTTTTTTTTGTATGGGTTCGTTCAATTCGTCGTTTTCTGATTGTTGTTGCTCTTTCTCTATTGTGTGTTTGAATTAAGAACAAGCTCCTTCTTCTAAAGCTTCCTTTATCTACTGCACATTCGTCAATATATGTACGTTCTCTATCTTGTTTAGTAAGCCACCTTTATAATGTGCTTTGATCTTTCAATCGATGTTTCATCGTCTTCATCGTTCACATCATTATTACTCGGCTACGATTACTCATTTACTTTGCCGCCGCTCCCACATTTCTGTTGCTATCTTTACCGGAATTAACGTCTTCGAGTTACTTCGCTCTTGTCGTACTTTTTCCTTTCTAATCTCAAAAGTATAAACCCGCCTGCTGTGTCGCCTATTCTCTCTCTCTTTCGCTCTCTCTCTCTATATATATATATATATATATTTAAGTGTACATCAGCCATTTCAGATTGTGTATATTATATATTTATATACTGTTTATTTTTAATATATTAAACAGCCTTATGTTAAAAGCAAACATCACACTCCTGTTTGACACACATCCCTCGCTTTTAACGGTGCACAATAGGTCTCATGTATATTCTCTTCTCACACATCTTCATCTACAATTATCTCTATCTCCTTCTCTCTCTTTCTCGCTCTCTGTCTATATATTACTATCCCAAGTATATTTGAATCGTGTATATATTTAGTGTTATATATAATTTTATATATAAGAGCCAAGGAGTTCGCGCATAAGCACGCACCCGAGGAGGCGATAGAAGTTGACTTGATGTTGACATTACATTAGCCTATAATACGTTTTGATCCTTTTCGCCATGACGGAAACAAAATTGTCTATTTCAGGTCATAGCGAATTGTCCTTTACGTTTGCGCTCCCATAGACTGTTTGCTAGGACATTATTTTATCCGACTTCATTCTATTCCGTGTCACGCTTTGTGTTCATGTTTTCTTTAATGCAATACATGGCTCTACGTTGCCGTACGTAATGGCATCTCGTAGCATAAGTGTTGTATATATATATATATATGGTATAATGACATCCGTGTTGGGTAGGGGTCCTTTTTAAAGGGAGTTCAAATTGCGTTTTAATAACTATTCTCTTTAGGAAACGGCGGAGAACGTAACAAAGCAGTAACGAAAAGAGCGAAAAAATATATTGGAATGTTATTTTTTATTGTGTGTGGTAATTAAAATCTTGGATAAATAAAATTTAGGCACGTTTGAGATGGATGGGCCAAAGGCTACGTGCGTTAGCGAGTGCTTCAAGCCTCCCACTGTAACTGTAGATTAATCTCGCCGCGTGTGCTCAAGTTATTTTGTGTTTTAGCCATGTTCTTAGTATGTGTCAGCCTCGGCAGACGTATTAAAAACGTCCGTGAATCGAGGCGGCTATCAAGCAATTTCAAGTAGACTAAAATCCAAAACGAACCCTATTGTCTGAACGGCAGAAACTTTCAGAGCTAATGCATGTATATTATGTATTAGACAAAAATCGCGTGCGCTATTGTGGGACACAAACAGTTTTTGTTGTACGGGAACGTAAAAGCAATATGC